AACATCCAATGTCTCTGAATTGCTTAGTTGCAATAATAAAAACTTTGCAGAGAATGATGTATAGAATATATATATATATATATAACTAATTTCAAGGCCTATTCCTAATAAATGTTGCTAACTGTTGACTTCTGGAGAATATGGATTGACTTTGTGACCGAATATGCTGAATTTGAGATAAAATTTTATACGTGAAGTGAAAAGGCTGTTTCAAAATGCACGCAAGATTTGAACTGAGTAAAATTGCAATTTTTTTCTTTCGATTATTTATTTATTGAGTTATGCACTCTGTCTCATTTGAATCTTCCCACCTAAATATTTCGAAAACTAGAAAACATTCTAGCAAGACGTTTGAAACGAAAGTTCTTGGGTTTGGAGGAGGAAAAATGATGTACCTTGACCAAGTTTGCTTGAAAACTTTACATCAGAACATCAGCTTGGCCATGACCTGGACATTGCCTTTAAGGCCACTTCAACGTCAAAGTAAAATATCGAAAACAAATTGCACTAGCAAAAATGTTTCACAGCACAGTTCTGAGGTTTGTGGGATCTCACAAGGGTAACTTTGACGATTACCTTGACCATGACCAGCAAGAAATTTCACATCCTAATGTGACCTTGACCTCAAATAAGATTAAATCTTGACACGAACTTGGCTTTGAGGTCAAGGTGATATTCCGACGTAAAATATTCCATTTCCAGTATAAAAATATGAGAGGTTTCCTTTGGAAATTTTGACCTGACCTTGAAGTTCATGGTCAAGGTTACCTTTGAGTCATCCTCATAAACCCCACAATTGTGCTGCCAAATATTTTTGCTACGGCAAATTGTTTTCGACGTCGATTTGACCGTGAAATGGCTTTGGAGATAATGGTCAAGGTCATGTCTAAGGTGACTTTCGGTCGTGAAATATCCTCATATTTTCAATTCCGATGTGAAATAGGGGGTTCTATTAAAAAATACTCACTTGAAATCCCCCCTAAAAGTCGTAGTCGAGGTCATTATCAATGTCACAATCATGTTGACTCCTCAAAACCCTGTAACTTTTGTTTGATATTTTTTTTTAGAACGATCAGTTTTTCCAATATGTAAGTGGGGAGATTTAAATGACCTCTTAGGCTTTGCTATTACATACGCATTCTTTTATTGGAATTTCCCATGACTATTTTATATGAACGTGGCTGTGTCAGATTTCGTCCTTTAATCTACAAATGCCTGTGGGCTTCTTTCTGCAAAAATTGGACAATATTGATGTGGATAACGCATATGGTTTCGAGAAGATGTGTCACTTGTCAAGGACCGCGGGAAGCAATTCAACTACTACATAACCGAGAAGACCATTTGCCTGATGTGCTAATCCAGGCACATCTGTGTTTCATCATCCAGTGAAAAATAAGAATCTAAAAAACAAAACTATGTTTTCTCTTTAATACCTGTATTGTGTGAATTTCGGTAGACCCTTTAGATCTTATACACCATTTAGAAGTATAGAGCATAGATCTCGAGAATGGTAAAAAAGTCGGTCAATCGGTGCAGAGTGGAATATTCAGGTAACTAAGCAAACGGCACTTCTCAAAATCGTTTTTATTCTTTTCTGATTTATTTGAGGTAGAGCTTCAAAATAAATTGCACATTAACATTGCCACTTTTTCCCCTCTACATTGTGACATACTTAGAATTTCAATATGACGTTTTGGCTCTTGTCCTCAATAATCGACTTAATTTTTTCTTATGGACGCCACAGTGGAATTTTGCACAGGCGATCAGAGTTTTCAATTCTTATGACATGTCATACATTGACGTTCTTAAACCTAAGTTATTTGAAAAAACTAATATTTTCTTAGTTGGCCTTGAAGATGAGGTCGTTTCATGTTTATCGGACTATTTTTTATACTCCAACTACCACGAAGGCCTAAGGCCTGAACACCCATCAGGTACCGTGGTGCTATAGGGGGAAACAGGAGAAAGGGGGGACGCTACACGGACTCTGGCGACATGCATACATTCTGGTCCCGTCAACGAGATCCACCGGGTGGTACCTCCGACCTTCGTCAGTCAGAGACCATCTACCACCTACGGACACTCACAACATCCATAGCCAAGAGAAACATTTCTCTCTCTTGGGACGGGATTCGAACCCGCGCAGCGCACATCGACTGATCAGGAGACCGAAGAGTCTATCACTGCGGCCATCTCTGCTGCCTAAATCACCAGTGCTTTAGTTTTTGAGAAGCGAATTTAAAATATACTAGAATAATTTGCCCAATTATCAAATTCAAGGATTATTTTAGCACCATGAGGACATTTTACAAGACACAAACCGTAGATTAATAATATTTGAATTCAAGATGTGTGCATCGGCTTAAATATGGCGGATATGAAATGTTTTTATTAAGCTAAACATCGTCAGAACTTTTATTTACTCCAAAACGTTGCATAAAATAATACTGTTGCATCGGTCTTTAAAAATGATGATGAAATAAAAATGAAATTATATTTGCGTGCTGTTTGCGTGTGTAGTGTCATAACTGCGATGCTGTTGCCCTCTGGCGTCAGTGAGTGGTACCACACACAACCTTGTCTGTCTGTTCGTGATGTGATTGCTGAAAAGTGCAGATGCAGCTGCACATCCCAATAAGGATAGCACACGGTGTCGTAGGCCGTTTGATGCAAGTGGTGGTTCCTTCCCCGCTTGGTGCTGTATTTCGGAGGACACAGGACAACGATGCGAAAACGTTGTTCAGCCCACACGTTCAAGTTCATTCGAGAACATTCTTATTCAAGTGGGCTAGGTGACAAAATGTCTACCACTCAGGTTTAATTTCAGAATATTTACTATACTAACGGATTCCATAAGGTAAGAACAAAATCGGAGACATGTTTCACCCAGCACATTCTAGTAAGAACGTTCCACGAACAATAGAGTAGAGCAGGGAATGCCTACAAGTATCGATTTTTAACTGATCACTTTGTCATTCAGGGATCTAAATGGGGACAATGCAATTATTTCTTTAATTATAAAGCAGCGTGCCCAAAATCGGATCCCCATTTTGTTATTGATTAAGAGAAATATGAAAATCAGCTAAAAGCGCGTGTTATTTACTTTGTAATGTGAATCAACACTTTTATAGATACATAGTTTGTCACAAAAATGGTAGATGTACACCCCTTTTTCTACCCCCTGCACCAGTAGCTTTAGGTCTTATCAGTTTCCCCATTAACCTCTTAGAACTCAAAAAGGGATTTCCAATGAATTTAGGCAATTTAGAGGGGATCGGCTTACGCGACTAAAACCAAAAATTTTTATAATAATATTAATAATAATAACAATTTATTCATAGTCATAAAAGGATATCCTTGAGCGTGGAAAAAAATAAAAAGTACATTAAATGAAAATAAATGCTGGTTACCAAAATAAATAACCATGATATGTTGTACAGCGTATGCGGCGTTGTGTATTATACATTTCAATTCTATCACAATGCAAGTTTTTTCTAATCAAAGTGTGTGAATTGTTGTAATTTGGAATTTACCTTAACTAACCTTTCAGATCTTTTTTTAATTTAATGTTATTATATTTCTTAATTTTTCCTGGTGCTATGTTATTATATATTAGTGGAGCCTGATAGATAGCTAAAAGATTTTAGCTTGATGTCTTTCTTGTAATTCTATAATAATACTTTTAATATATAATTTTTGTATGTTAAGAATTGTTTAACAATTCTATTTGCAGAATCCCATACTCTTATTCCATAAGTTAAGTGACATTCTACTAGTGCGTAATATATTATAATCTGTTGCTTTTTAAGAATACGTGAAAAAGTGGTAGAATGTATACAACATTTTTTTATTAATATAATATACAGTAAAATTTCAATCAAAATCTAAACGGATCAATTTCATGAAAAACTCGAACTTAGGAGTACTTGAGAGAATACATAGATATAATCCTGGACAAATAAGTATAGTCAGGGCATGTGCGCATGCGCTCCACTAGCGCGTGGTAGAGAACCCTAAGCTAATATTTACACTTGGCAATAGAGGAGTTTCAGAGAATGCAGAACCAATAAGACCGGGAGTCTGCCTTAGGGGTGGGGTCCGATTTGGGACATTTTTATCCAACAATTAACTATTCGATATGGAACAAGTACTGAGATAAAAATAGCAAGATGAGAGACGATGTTTGTAGACACGAGCTGCTCTTGTTATAGTATAAAGCAGTGTTATATCTTATGGGCATTTGCCTGTCCATGATTTTTAGCCACTGAAATGATCAAGAGAAAATAGAGAAAAGCGGAAGGAGCAACTGTCTTATAGCTATCTTAGTATTTGAAAATCATTTTCTTAGGAAAACGTCTGAGCTTCCTGCACGTTATACTTTAGTTATAACATTGCATCGTCTTTATCGGTTAAGTTGTTCGTATCCAATTTGCCTCTATAAAAGTTTGCAACATTATATCTTTAACGTTCAGAGCTTTCTCTTACCAGAACTTTCGATGAAAAGGATCTGATATTTGACAGTCATGACAGATATATTCTACCATTAATGTGTCTGGCATACCATAGTCAAACATCAGATGAATAGACAAAATATTAGCTTGCAACCCTAGTGCTTATGAAAAAAAGCAGTTGTATTTACAGTTATATTTTTGTCTATTCCATCTGCTTATTCAAATTTGTGTGCTGAGTGCTTTTGGTTGACAGAATCAGCTTCCCTTCGATAAGCATCAGTATTACTGATTCATGTTTATAAGTGGTTTGAAAAGAATATGCAATCCCTTCTGCATATAAGAGGGAAATCTTGATCATCAAGCTCTTGAACTTTTTTCACTTCTGGGTTTCTTTTCAATTTTCAAACCGCATATAAACAAAGTGCTTGGCAAGTCTGTTAATCTCACACAAGTTCTCTTGTTCCAAAACATAAGCACACAAAATATTGTTCTTAAATCAAATATTTACATATGTCTAATATGCATAAAATATACAAAATGATTACTTACAGCTTTCTATTTCTATGTGACACAGTTGTCTATCCATTGGAAAATACTGTAGGTTCATTGGGCATGATGCTGTGATTGTGAGTCTGGAAAGAAAAAAAACGTGTAAAATATAGGGAAAAGCACGGCTTGAGTTCAATGTGTACGAGAGAGAAGCGCGATACGAGTGTATGTTAGAAAGAGATAGAAGCCGGCTGGTGAGCGACGGTCATCACCACACTGCCTAGAAACGGCGACGCAGAAGGTCGTGAAATCTACCGCGTTGCCAATATGTTACACCAGAAAATGCTCGCACAGGCTTCTAACTAGGTTAGGTTACTGTCAAATCAAATAAGATGGTCCGTTCAAACATTTAATTTAGTAGTTTGTTTTCATTTTGATTAGGATTATTTATTTATTCCAATTTTGATGCAACTTAGTGTTTTAATCCCCTTTGATTTCCACCGATGGTGATAAAATCAACACATTCTGGGTTATTGTTATATTTTGCAACAATGCTGCGTTTGGAAAATGTAACAAATAACGTTACGCAATACAAATTATCACTGTCTGCGTGTACGCAGGTGAAATGTACAATATACTGTGTTGTCAAACGAACCAATGATGCAATGTTGCAGAATTTCTGGCGATCCCGACCTTTCACTTGGACCTAAAATGGAGCGCCGTTAGGACCGTTCGATCCTAAGCAGTTTCGACACATTTCACAATACAAAAATGTGTACGGTGAAAATAAAACCAGTATTTGGGCGTAAAGCATGAACTAACGCATGTTTTCAATATGCATCTTAATTCAAGAAACTGATGTATCCTATTGGCATCGCTGTCGCGGCAATCTACCACGGCTGATGAGCTTCGCTATTTCTAGCATATGTCCCTATACCCACTGCTCTCTCATACACATTGAACTCAAGTCGTCAGACAAATTTGGTTCTCAGTGTATAAGGATGTAATGAGCGGGAAATCATCTGAATGAGCATATGTGAAAAACTAGTTCATATATTCAAAGTAGTTAGCGCTCTGAGCATCTTTCCAAAGTAATGGTATGAATAATACAACATAGCCACATATTTAAATATTCAAAAGTATCCGATGAATGAAATGGGAAGAGACGTGATCCAACATAGGAGGAAGGATTATCTGAAACTTTAAGCCCTACGGTTCGGTATCGATTTCCGATAGATTTCAATGCATTTAAATCAAAAGATACTGAAGTGTGCATTGGAATATCGGGAAGTTATTGCTATATATAGATATATCCATCTGGATATATTACATCTGCGTAAAGAGCAGTGAGATTACCACCATATGGGTATCAGGTGTATCAAATTCGACCCACACAATTGGGATCTCGGAAACGGTAAGAGAGATTCTCTTAAATGGGGGCAATGTTGCGTATTTAGGTAACTTACAAAATATTGCTTAAAAAGTTTCGAATCTCAAAGGACTTCAGGAGAGAGACAGAAAAAACACAATTTTCCAAAAATTGTTTTAATTTTTTCCTGTGGGATCTCAAAATAAATTGCAGATTAACATTGCCACTTATTGTCCTAAACAAGATGGCATAATTAGAATTTCAATATGGCGTTTCGTCTTTTGTCCTCCAGCATTAACTTTATTTTTTCTGATCGACGCTACGTTTGATTTTTGCATAGTTTCTAGGTAAGCCTTGAAATTATCAGATATTCGTTTACCAGACCTCTAACTGAACATAGTAACAGAGTTTGGAATGCGAACCACAAATCGACTAGTGCTGACCTGCTACAATTTACTTCTGCTTATTTATGATTATTACTGTTATTGCCATTAATAAAATTTTCATTTTGTGTCCAGGTTTCACCATACCTTTTTATTTCCTTATAACTTTCTTATAACAACAAATTCATGGCCAAAAAAGGAAATACATCACAGAATTTACGACTCAAAAGTCGAGCTAAATATACAAAAATCCAATATAGCGTCCATATATGAACAAAACAAATTTGGTGTTAGAATTCAAAAGAAATCTGGAATTGAAAATTTGACTACTCCATCTGGTAGAAAAGAATAAATAACAATGACAACAAGCAATTTATTTTGAAATCCTCATCTCAAATGAAGTCAGGAAAAACTAATAAATGTTGGATAAATCTGGTACGCGAAACAAATGAATATCTGAAAATTCCAAGGCATACCTAGGAATGCCTTTTTGAAATAACTGAGGTTTGGCAATGTATGACGTATTATACATTTCTGGAATCAGAATTAAAAACTCTATTCATCTGTAAAAAATCCAACAGTAGTCCATAATACAAAATAAATTCGACGATGGAGGAGAAGGGACGTAACGTCAAATTGAAATTCTAATTATGCCATTTTGTAGAGGAGAAAAAGTGGCAATATTAATATGCAGTTAGTTTAAAATCCAATTAAAGTCAGGAAAAAATTAAAACGATTTTGTGAAATTTGAGTTTTTTCCGTCTCTCTCTGCGGCAGTAGTTGAATTTCGAAACGTCCTAAGCGGTATTTTGTAAATTACCTAAATATGCAACTTTGCACCCATTTAAGTGACTTCACATCTCTTACCGTTTCCGAGATCCCAATGGTGAGAATCGTATATGAAACACCCGGTATACTAGATATTTTTGCTCCAAAGCCAAAACACCGATCTTATGGTTGCGTATTCTTCAAATTAGTCATCATGTTAAACTGCAATAGCACATGATCAATGTCCAGAGATGCTTAAGGATGTTCTTACAGGTCTGGGGAGGACCTGGTGGAAGATACCATCATGAATCCAGTAACTCTGAGAACACAGATTTGCCTTAAAAACGCATAAACGGAAAAATGGTTTCCAACAATTATGGACTTCTCTACAATTATTACTATGTTCGAGGGCATAGTATGTTCCTTTCTTCAAGAAACTTGTTTTTCTTGTATTTAAGGGTAATTCGCAGGGAGATACGATATAGAGCGAAACACGTAACTCCTAATATGTCGGTTTGACGAGGTGTGAACCTTTGTACTGTTTCTACAAAATTCCAAACTCTAAATGATGTCTCAAATCGCATGAATCTTTAGTGCGTTAATCCAAACACCATTTTATTTTAATAATTTAACATAGATATAAGATTAAAGAGATTGATTGAACATTCAGCAGTCTTAAAGGTTCTAGAACTGCTGGTATATGACACTTCTCTTAATATCCACTTAATGAAACGCTTAAAAGCGGAAAGAGAAACCTTGTTAAGCAGGACATCAATTTCCACACAGCCGATCTCATCCTCAAATTGCTTAATCGGAGCACGCTCCCTAATTCTAGCGAATCGTGCTTCCAGCCTTGGTATCTCCCGATCCTCTAAAATAACCTCTCTTTTATTATTTTTAAACTTGTTGCTTCTGTGTGTGCGGCCTGGGGTGGGAAGCGCATATCGATCAGCTCGCAATCTCCCTCCTTGTCTATATTTAACCCGGTTAAGTGCAGTTATGTTACCGTAGATGAAGTGTTTATGAAGATGCCACTTGGTATGATCCATATCGGACTATCCTTACTGTACGGCACACCTGAGATTCTACAGGGGCAGTTGAAACAGGTTTCTAGAACATCCTTAGTGAATTCTGCTTTTAATTGCTTGTAAATGGGTTGTCTGTGTTATGGGTCACAGTTCTACCTCAGAGAAACTACTTTATGATGTAGATGCCGCTCTATTTATTCAGAATAATGGATAATATTTTAACGTCAATAAAATGTACTGTCTTCGAGAATGATTCCCCTATGCACCGTTTTCAGCTCAAGTTTTACTTCGCTAAGTTGAGAATATTGCATTGCTAAGCACTAAACTCGTTACGTATATCGTCCTAGCTAAGACCATTTTCAGTTCGACATTTTGACTGTTCTTTGGCATTTTTGTCAGTGAGAGTTCGGCCAAATAGAGGAGATCCATTGATTTTGTGGCTCAATCAATCTTTGAATATTTGTACGCCAACGGCGACAAGATGCAAGAATACTGTCAAATGCGTTGCTAGCAATCCCACATTTTGGGCAAAGGATGCTTCGTGAACTCCGTGAATTCGCTTTCCATGGTACTACCTCCTCGGAAAGCCATTTTTGATATCATTTGCCATGTAAATCTTCTAATTTCACCATATGATTCATTAGTTTTGACACACATGGCATTCATTATGGTCAACAAAGAACGTCTTAGCATTTTAAGTCGATGATTTGAGCTGCAGTGTAAATTGATAAGGGTCAGTCCATGGAAACCAAACAAGATTTTTTCAACCTAAGAACTACCCCAAAAACATCATTTTTGGGATAGTTCTACCCTTGCGATCTAAAAGAGTTAATTGACATCCATGGACATCATCATATAAGCACCTAACTGATTGCACTGCCACCTATGTGTAGTTGACCAATCGTGGTTCGTTCTACCGATGGTCGCAGCGGTAACTTTTATAAAAAATCGATTTACAGTAGCATCCTTTAAATACCATCATTTTCCTTATGGATTAGGACATTTTTTATAAGGGGTTGTGGCATTATTTTTGTATTCTATATTCTGAAAGATCGAGCTCTCATTCTGCATTATATAGAGCAACAAGATTTTTACCCCGAAACCAGAGTATAGTTTTCCGAAGATCTTTGAAGTGCTGATTCAGAATACGTGATCCAAATCTCTCAGTTGCTTCTAGTTTCCGAGATATCTTAACCCAACCGTGTAAAAACAGCGATTTTGGCTATATTTGAGGTTGTCACAAGCTTAATTATTTTTTTCAAAAAAAAAACAAAGATTATCTCGAAGTCACATGCCGTTAGGTTTGCATGAAGATATTTTTCTTTCGCTAAGATATGAGACTTTCAAATTTTAATTTTTCTGAATTATATATTATTTGATACCTTAGAAGTTATGATTACGTGTGCATCAAAGTTGTGGTTTGGATTATAACGCACCAAAAGCTTAATAAAAATTTAATTTATTTTTATGAAATAAGACCTATCAAGCAATAAAACCATAAATCCTCGACATCAAATCGTTCAAACTACAACTACATCGGTAACATGAAAATTTCCTGCCATTAAATCAGTGAAAAAAAAAAGATATTCAAGCAAACTCCACTGCATTTGAAAATGTAAGGCATGTACCTTAAGATGATGTCAATGGTTGTTTGAAAAAATAGCTAGGCTACCTAACCTCGAATATAGGCAAACGTCGCTATTTTTACACTTTTAGGTTAGGATATCTTGGAAAATAGAGACAATTGAGAGATTTGGACCATGGATTTCGATTCAGCGCATAAAAGACCTTCGGAAAAGTATACTTGAGGTTCTGGATCGGCGTAGTTATTATTATTTCCGAAAATCTATCTGGGAGGTGATATATGTAGCAGGATTCTGGATACATGTTTCTACTTATAAAGCAAATAACAAGGCCAAAGTATGAACTTTCTGGATGAAGGTGTACCACCTTGTACAGTGGTTACACGTCTTCACGAGAAATTTAATGAGTTAATTAATATTCTGTTTATGAGCTCCCCTAGGGGCACCAGAGCGGCCGTCTTACAGGAAAATAGGCGCAAGGGGGGAGGGGCGCGGTTGGAGGGAAAGCAGATGACTGCGACGACAGCCCTGATGCGCTCAAACCGTTGCAGAATATAAACATCCTAAAAAATGCACTCTATTTAAATCGTTCAAGTTCATTATCTACCCATTAAATGTAATTTGCAATCTCAAATTCATTATGGTGGTGGTAGACGGAACACAGAATCCCGAATGCATTATTGAGTAGGGCGTCAAGCTTAGACATAATGCTAACGGCCCGTTCACACATGCTCTCCGTTTTACTGGTCCGTTTTATCGGATACGTTGTTTTTCGTCGGTGGCGTATATATATGTAGTTGTATGAGCGACTTCACACATGGCACAGTATACTGTATACAGTAAAAAATACTGTTCCGTTAAAATATGACATTCCGTTTTGCCATCGAATACTGGACGACGGAACAGTAAAAATATACGGATACGTAGAATTTTAACGGATAGATACTGTGTGCGTGGCGGGCGGTGTGTGCGGGGTGTAGGAGGGGGAGTGATACGACAGGTTTTGACTCGCATTTTCTATTGTACATTCATAGAGAACGCACGCGTGCATTCTGTGTAATAATTATTATAATCACTGATCAACCAAGGAGTGGAAAAAGTTAATAGACAAGGATATTTTAATTAGTTTGGTGGAAGATGGGCCAGTCCTTTGGGTCAAGACGCTGGATAAATACAAAGACAATACTGCAAGTATTGCAGGTTGGCGCGAAATATGCGTTATTCTAATGGAGGATTTTGAGGCTATGGAACATGACAAAGACAAGAGTTCGGTAAGTGTCTGTTTTGGTATTTAATTACATTCTAAATAGCTTCATCCTGCCATGGAACTGATCCAGCTTCGGACATGAAATAGTTCACGAATTCTGTTCAAACTAAATTGGCAGTATTACCACCTCGTGTTCTTACTTCATGGGGTAGGTTTTCGTAACTAAATTCTTCAGATATGTTATTATCACTGTTTGAGCCCTCCTTGTCCCTTATAAAGTTGTGTAGAATAGTACATGCCTTAACAGTCCATACAGCTGTTGTTTTATCGATGTCTAGAGGCCGCTGGAATATTCTCTACTTATTAGCTAAGATACCGAAGGCACATTCAACGTATCTCCTAGCTCTAGTCAAACGATAGTTGAATTTCCGCTTATTGTTGTCCAGATGCGTCCCGCCAAAGGGCCTTAGTAAATTTTCGCGTAATCCGAAACCTTCGTCTCCAATGACCACATAAAGAACTCTCGTTTCTGAGTCTCTTGTTAATGGGCATGGTGCTGGTATTTGAAGACTGCCGTCTAGCATCATTTTTGAAAATGTTGTCATCTTGAATATTGATGAATCGCATTCTTTTCCATAAGATCCGACACTGACGTATACAAAGCGATAGTTGGAGTCTACGATCGCTAATAATATAATGGAAAAAAAATCCTTGTAATTGATATACAGTGAACTGCTATTTAGTGGTTTTTTAAGTCGGATATGTTTTCCGTCGACAGCTCCAAGACAGTGGGGAAAATTAGCTTTTTTGTTAAATCCACATGCTATCTGTTGCCATTCGTCGACTGATGTAGGAAGTCGCATAAATTTTTCACTTAAATTGTTCCATATGCATATTGAAACTTCTTTAATAATGTTGCTAACGGTCGATACACCAACGCGATAGGTGTAATGGAGATCTTTAAATGAACACCTGGATGCTGCATACCTGAAAATAAAATTGATTGTTTTATTACTTGTTTTAGGAAAACTTGTTCTGAAAAAGTGGAGACAGATGAGAGATGCCTGGGTGAGAACACTAAAAGATTAAAAGAATTGCAAGACGTCTGGTTCCGCTGTCTCAAACACGAAGCCCTACAAATACCATAATCAGATTCTGTTTTTCAAAAAAGTAGTTGCTGCTGGTGAAACGCATGAAAGCGTATCTGCTAAACAAACTGAAGAACACACCAAAGATGACACCATGACATCTAATGAACCTACAAACGAAGATGACAGTGTGACTACAATAACACAACTTGACAATGACAGTCAAAAGGACAAACAAAATCTAGCCTCCCCGCCAAAACGCAGAGCACCAGCCAAACGAAATTTTAATGAAATGTATGGCAAAATGATGTCCTACATTGACTATCAGATAAAACCTAAGAAAACTGAGCAGGATGATCGCAATTTATCGTTCTTCAAAGGTATTTTGCCGTCCTGCTTGATGATGACCAAACTTTGGAATTCCAGTCAGGGGTGATAAACCTATTACAAAATATTAAACATAGGAGAGTTGGCCAGTCAACTTATGACTGTGTGATGCTACGTTAGATCTGTCTGAGTTTTAAACATAAAAGTACGTACCTTAAAAATATCGCTGGTTTTTCTTCTGGGCACCTTTCATCTAACGAGTATCTTCCTTTTTTAAATCCTTTTCCAATAGTTTAAGAAGTTCATCAAAAGTAGACATTGACATACGAAAGTAATTGAAGAATTCCGATTCATCACCTCGTAACTGACTCATAAGTAAACTGTAAGCACCCTCTCTAGATCTTTGGGCCATAAGTGGATGCTGCCAATAACGTCGAATCTTCCTTCTCCGACGATAGTACCAATACAACACGACAGCGTCCATCCTTGTAGAATAGAGGTGGTATACTGCGAGTTTTCTGTTCACGCATCGCATCCAGTAATCACGGATCCGTTGAACGTTATACGGTGCCTATGTGTGAACAGGGCATAAATTTATAACGTATCCGTTAAAAACGTACCAGTAAAACGGACTCCCATGTGTGAACCGGCCGTAATACACATTTCATAAGCTGGAATTATTGGTCCCTGGTTTTTTGAGGTAAATGAAATCGTAGTGACAGTGAATATTCAGACCGGTATGTAAACATTTTACATGAATCTTTTCCCATAGCTAGATTAGTTGGAGCTGGGGGACATTTGGTTCCAACGAGGCGATGGAAAGGCACACACTTCGAGAGCATTGATGACTGTTTTAAGGAATACTTCCCAGAGTGCATCACCTCAATTAGGGGCGATTTGGAGTAGCTCTCCCGATTTGGACCCTACTGATTATTTTCTCTGGGGTTTTTTTAAATTCCGTGTTTTTAGCGTATCGAGAATGGGGACCGTCGCATATCTGATTTGATATTCAAAACTATGTATATAATATAATAATACAATATGTTGCATTAAGTTTTGAAAGAAGGAAGTTATGCTGCCGTACCCTTATAATTATGCCTCATGTTTGTTGGTGTGAGCAATGCTCTTAAATAAGAAGAACAACGGCATTGTGGGAGGAAAATGCCAAAACGAAAAAAATAAAAATAGCTCAAACTTTTTGACATTTCAGGGGATGCCGATCATTTTTGAAAAAATTGTCAGTGGTAAAAAATTGGTGGGTAGGGAGGGAGTTGTAGAGGGTTGGGGAGGGATCTTTGCACCTATTAGATATATTTAACACATCATAGATTTCTCCGTATATTTGCCCTTAAAAATAGGAAAAATATTATCAGCCAACAAATGAAGTACATATCTTTGGTAGTGTATCCGAGAGACATAAAACCAGGTAGCGGACCACCCGGTGCGCGATATTCACATACGAAGTGGGCCGATATTATCTATATACAGGGTGTTCCTTAATGATATGCGAATATTTAAGGGTGTGAATCTAAATGAATGTTAGCTTGCTTCATAAACTCTGGTCCAAAAATGTCTCCTTACAAAAACTCGGGGTGTTGAATTTTTAGGAAAAAATTGGAAGTTAATTAATATTTTCATAACCAGTTCAGATATTTAACTGATATTCGGGAACTGAGTTCGATATTTTTTATGAAAAAAATGGTACACCAACAGTTTTTTGCCAAATAAAAATTATTTTTTAATTCCCCGTTCAATTTAAAACAAATAATATCTCCTGAGTTGCTTTTCTTCAATGCGCCATTTTTGAGTAAAAAAATATAAACCGTCTAACTTGCAAAATCATTATTAATTTAATTGGAAATATTAAACACATTAGGGGTAATGAACAACAACAACTGACAACATAAATATAATATAAAAACCAACAAAATAATTACAAAAATTGTTGAATATGGCCCCCTTATGCATGCTTCCGCCCTCCTTCTCATGGAATTGCGCACTCGTTGAAATATCCCTGGAGTGTTTTTTATTCTATCACAAGCTGCAACTATTCTTTCTCTTAATTCCTCTACAGTGTTAATGGGACTTGTGTACACTAGTGTCTTAATATAGCCCCACAAAAAGAAATCTAAACTGTTGAGAAGTGGGGACCTTGGTGGCCATTCTTGGGCCCTTCACGGCCAATCCAACGATTTGGATAAACAGTTTGTAAATAATTACAAACCGCTACACTGAAATGCGCTGGTGCACCATCATGCACGTACCACATATTGTTTCTTATTACGGAACATCATCAAGTAGCAAAGGCAACTATTGTTGAAGAAAATTGAGGTAAGTCTGTCCGTCAAGTCGTCCCGACAAGAAGAATGGGCCAATAAAGTGGTTGCCAATAATTCCTGCCCATACGTTAACCGAAAATTGGTGTTGGATATGGGTTTCGGTTACGGCATAGGGATTTTCTTCTGCCCACAAATGATTATTGTGGAAATTCTGAATGGCATTTCGAGAAAAATTAATTCTGTCCGTGAATAGAATCATTGATTCAAATCGCGGATTTTCTGTAATTTTTTGAAGATACCAATAACAAAAGGTCACTCGCCTGGAAAAATCAATGGGAAGTAATGCCTATACTCTTAAAATATGGTAAGGATATAACAAAAAATCCACTAAAATTCTCCAAACAATTTGATGGCAAATATTTAAGTGTATAGCTATCTTCCTCGTTCTCGTTTCAGGATGTTCTTCGACTTCGTGCAGCACTGCTTCCTCAATTTCAGGTGTTCTCACACTTAGAGGTCTACCTTCAGATGTTCCTTTTCGGACAGAACGAGTTTCAACAAGACGACGATGAATATTAGAAAAGATTCGCCTATCTGGCAAAGCACGATCGGGATATTTCTGGTGATAAATCCGTCTGGCTTGTTCACCATTACCGTCAGCAAGGCCATATACGTAATGCATTTCCGCCATTTCTGCATTTGAATAATTCATCATTACTAACAAGATTGTAAAAACAAAATAATGAAAAAGATGTCACAGCGAACAGATTTGCATAACAGAGACTTGTCAGATGTCAAAACCCAGTGACATATTCCAGAGCAACTAGATATTTATTGCTAAATTGCATTCCCCAATTATTACATTAATTTTCTCGGACATGTTCTTTTTTTTTACTGGCGCATTAAAGGAAGACAATTCAAGGGAGATCATTTGAGTTAAATTGAACGGGGAATTCAAAAATAACTTTTATTTTTCGTAACATTTTTTTCTTAAAAAATATCGAAGTCAATGCCCGTACACACGCCACTGCTAAAGCTAAAAATTATTTTTGCATTGAAAAATATGCAACTTTATTACCTTTCACTACGTACTAAATATCAGTAAAATATCTGAAGCGGTTCTGAAAATATTAATTAATTTCTATTTTCTTACTAAAACTTCAACACCCCGAGTTTTTGTAAGGAAACATTTTTGGACCATAGTTTATAAAGCAAAATAACATTAATTTTTCATGTAGATTCACACCCTTAAATATTCGCATATCATTAAGGAACACGCTGTATACGAGCATTATGGTTGGAGTGTAATGTAATGCGGTTACTGGATTTCGTGAGGTAATATTATATAGTATATATAGGAGGTAAGTACGCCTCAAGGGCAATTATAATCAGTTAAATAGAATTGTACCAGAGCTCCAAATATTGAGGCTACCGTGTACAGACACGCTGATTGCTGCAATCTGAGGGGACTTTTTCTCATGAAAATCCCAAATGTGCACTAATGTTTCTGACAAAACATGCGTCCTGTTGATGCCATTGCACTACATGGAAAATTGTACTAGAAGTGAGAAGAATACTTGACTCCATTTTTACAAATTTTCTTACATTTTCCCTCAGCTCTTTACAGGATCCATTTCTACTAAGATGCTTGTCTTACATGAACTAAAAAGCAAATAATGTTAAAACATTTTGACATAATATAAACAAAATGTGCTCATGTAGACTACTAGGATCACTTATTTTACCGTCAACAACATTCATCATTCATTTCGGGTGGTCGGAATCCATATCACTGCGGACTTGATCTGGCACGAACACATCTCGTCAATCGCGGCAGCAGCTGGGAAAAAGCTAGGCTAATTGTTTAGAGCTAATAAGTATTTTCTCCTCATAGCCTACTCACTCTGTAAAAGGCCCATATAAGACCTAGCCTCAAGTACTGCTTACATGTTTGGGGTGCTGTCGCCCCGATTACATTATCCATGCTCGATGCTGTTTAGAGGAGGCTGTCCGACTGATCGACGACTTTTCGTTAACGGACAATCCCGAGACCCTTTCGCACCACTCTCGCGCCGTAGGCGATCTGGCTCACTTCTGTCGCTAAATTAACGGGATTTGCCCCACAGAGCTTTGATCGAAGATGCTCTTGAGATATGAGCCTTCCAAACAGACCGAGATTGTGGAACAATCTGTGTGAAGAGGCTTTTCCCAGTTCTACTAACCTTAGGCAGTTCAAAAGTCGGATAAACAAGGTGTCTTCAAGCCCCTTAGAGCAGCCACGGTGCACTGGTATTTAGGCTCCTGCTTCGCTATAAAAAATCTGCAATGGGGTCAGGACAGAGCAGAAGCAATCAACCTTTTCACAATAGGAACGTGGTGACTTACCGAATACTCCTGGTGATTGATCCTGAATGGTGTATCCGGATGAACTCGTTGAGCGTGGTGGCGATGTGGAAGGAGGACTGTTTCTCGTTGACGAAGAACGTGTCCGGCACCCAGATGTTCTTAATGAACTCTGAGCCGACGGAGAGGGTCTCTACGCCAGGCCGCTTCCGGAAGGCTAGCCGCGGGTCCGTCCAGAACTGCCGGAAGTAGAAGTCCAACGTGAAGTCCTACGGAAGGTGCCACCGCACACACACACGGTAACAGATAGGTATTAGTTCGAGAAGGACAAAGATTGACCGTGCAACAGGTGGTTGGTGGAATGTACGGGTTAGTCGAATACTGACCATGTAAACAGTCTATTTTCCTGGTTTTTTGGGGGATGCTATGACAAAATGAATCTTTCCCTAACATGATGGGACGATGGATTTTAGGCGTAGAACGCCCTAAGTGAAATTCTGTTTCATAGTTATCAGAATTCATAAAGTGATTATTAGGAAAGAGTCAAAAACTGCTGTTAATAATAGTTCAATCTTTGATTATTGTTTTTTAAATGCTTCATATCGAAGATATGGTTCGAGAATCAGTTTGCTAACATCTGGCTTGGCCGTCTGGGCTTTTTCAAAAAATAGAGAGGAATAGGTGGCCTGATATATTCCGGGTGTTTCAAATTCGACCTTCACCATTTGGATTTCGAAAACGGTGAGAAATATGAAGTCGCGAACTGGGGGCCGAAGCTGCGTATTTAGGTAATTAACAAAAGGCCGTTTAGAAAGTTTCAGAATTCGAAGTACTTCCGGAGAGAGATGGAAAAACAGAATTTTCCAAAGTGGTATCAATCATTTCTGGATTTTTTTTGTAGTGGGATCCTAAAATAAATTGCACATTGGCACGTTTTCTCCTCTTCAATATGGTATAATTAGAATTCCGATACGACGTTCCAGCTCTTGTCCTCTAGCATGAATTTTATTTTTACTGAAGGACGCCATATTAGATTTTTGCATACATTGACGTTGCCAAACCTTATTTATTTAAAAGAGAAACATATTTTTTAGATAGGCTTTGCAATTAGCAGGTATTCATTCGTTTCGCATACTAGATGTATCCCAAAATCATTTGTATTTTCCTGACTTTATTCAAGATGGAATTTCAAAATGAATTGAATGCTGTCTTTGCCACTTATTCTCCTCTACAAGATGGCGTAGTCAAATTTTCAATTCGAAGTTTTTTCTTTCGACTTTCATTAGCAACTGTTTTTTATATGTACAATTAAATAGACTTTTAAGTCCTAAATTCAGTGATGTATTTTCTTAGTTGGCCATTAATTTGTTGTCGGAACGAAAATTATAAGGAAATAACAATAATAATCAGTTATCTGTACATTGTTAAATTTTCGATTTATTTCCTTCTTCTAACTCTTCCGAGCTCTGTAACTATGTTTACTTGGAGGTCAGATCTGGTATACGAAACAAATGACAATGATAATTTCAAGGCCTTCCTAGGAAATTATTTTTTCTAGAATAAATGAGGTTTGGCAATGTCAATGTATGTATGTAATCAGAATTAAAAATCTTCGCAAACATCCAATATGACGTTCGTAATGAAATTGATGCTGGAGAACAAGACAAGAGACAAAGGATCATTTTGAAATACTAATTTCGCGTTCTTGTAGACGAAATGTTAATATGCAATTTCTTTTAACATCCCACTACAACTAAAGTCAGGAAAAAATTAAAACGATTTTGGTAAAATTCGGTTTTTCCTGTCTCTCTCCGAAAGTACCATGATTTTCCAAACTTTCTAAGGGTCCAATTTGAAACACCCTAAGTTACTCAGTATGACTTACTAGAGTACTATGAGGGTCATATTTACAACCTTTCCTTTCTGGAACCTTCTAGGTTAATTGTAATAGCTATATTGCTATGTAAATTAAATATCCATATTTTGCTGGTCGCCAAATGAAACCACATGTGTTGCATTGGCGGCCAGCAAAACGTGGAGATTTATCTTCCATTATACAAACTAGTGACGTTATGAGTAAGTAGCCATCCAGTACCATACTTTTCTCTCGACCAGCTATATTAGTTACGTTAAATTATCAAAATTGATTTCCTAAAAATTCCTATTTTTTATTAAAAATATAAATTTCTAAATTCTGGCTCAAAAACATTAAATTATCCCACTCTTTTTTGTTTGTAGGAACATTAAATTAGTACGAATCCACCTGATGAGTTTTTGTTCGCATCGGAACTATGTACTAATTATAAATTTTGATTTAATCAGACCACCCATACATTTTCCAGTAACCTTCTGCTGCATCTATACAAATATGAAAGCAGAAGAACTACAAACGAGGCTTTGAAATTCTCATATACGGTTATTAAAAGAAATGTAAGAGTAAAACAGTTGAAAAGGCGTTAGACAATAACCTGCATAGCTGACATGGCTTCTGAAGTAAAATAAAACCAAGAGTTGTATGAAAAGAGAAAAGCACCATTAGAGATATGACAGTCACTTTTAGATTATAATATATGCCTGAGCATTCATACAGGGGCTCATATAATTAGAATTGAGGATAATATTCCACAAAATGTAGTTTGTGGGACCTTCTAGTTAGTATTGAGATATATTTAACTTGGAATGTTACATGTGGTACTGAAGAAGTCATTTCCAACTGACCACTGCAGTGAGTATTTGGAGAAATAAATCAAGATAGAGCAATGGCTGATCAAAAGGTTTTATCGAGTGGTTAATGCTTTTTAGAGCGAATATTGTCTGAAATCCATTTATTCAAAGCTCTGATAACATATGCTATATGGAAGCTATTTTTTACTTTTGTCAAAATCGCTTGTCATAAAAATTATTAGTAACGTTTGAACACTCACTCTCGTTCCTAGGGTTTGGTGGATTTTTTCCTCAAAAAGTGACGAAAGTTAAGACTAAAACGTATTTTTCCAGTTTCCTGCAAATACTAATATTTTTTCCGTTATTCAAAGTTCAGTGATTTCAGTTTTCATAACATCGCAGTATCCTCTATTTAACGTCCCATAATCTGTGGCCATAAACACAAAACGAATCGAATCTACAGGAAGAAACACTTGGTCGTAGGTATATTATACTGTATACAGTATATTAGTCTTACACATTTGTTTTATGAAAGCAAATTATTTAAATGCCAACGAGTACGCATATTGAGGCCCTATATACCCAGCTTTTTTTAAATTCAACAAACTTTAACAAATGTTGCATCTTCCAAATGTCAAACGGAAAAACAATATAAAAAAAAACAAAAATTTTAATGTTGCCGATGCTCCTAACTAATCTTCAAACATCCGTTAACAAAATCCAGTAATTATTGCAACACCTTTAATTGTTAGACAAACGAGCGCTCAGCGTATACTCAGGAATATTGGCAACATTAAAATTTTCGTTTCTTTATATTGCTTTTTGAGGTTGAAAATAGTATATTTCGCACTTTTTCAAATATTGTTTCATTTATATCTCGAAAACAATCAACTTTAGAGAAAAGTTTTGAAGTAGTCTTGTTCCGAATGACCAAAAAGCCTAAAAATACTTCGAAAAAAACAGCTTATAAAATTTGTTTAAATAATTATTGACACAAATTTGGGCCTGGCAACATTCTGATTCGCTAAAAGTAACCAAACCCTTTTTGAATAAGATTATGCAAAAAATCCAAATCAGAATTTTTTTTCTCATCGGATGCCTGGACTTTTATGCTATGGCTAAGTACTGCCCTTTAATGAGATATATTGATTGATGAAACTCAAAGATATCTCTGGCTTTGATCTAAACAATAAACGACTCATTCGTATCAAGTTAAATTCCAGAATAATATAGTAAGGGTTTGAAGCTATATTCCAGTAAACTAAGAGCTTAAGGCCCTTAACCTTGTTAATACCCCTTATACATATTCTACATTTTATTCCGCTAGATAAACATCAAGGTTATTTCAAGGCAATAAGCTATATCTTGGTAGAGTCGTAGTCTTTATGCAGGTAATATTTATGATTAAAACAGGTATGCCTTTGTGGTATATGAATGTCTGGCAAGCATGAAATATATCCACTGCCTTAGTGGATACAGTGCATACAATGCATTGTACCACATCTAACGAGAATTGCTATACCTATGACCTTTTAGGTTAATGTGTATAGAACGTTGATGATGTGGGTATACGCAATTAAACTTCCTCGTAGTAAGGAGACGAGTGAATACTTCATTTTGATTAAGACTTGGGATCGAACATGCACTATACGCCATGTAGTCACAAGGGTACAGGAATTTTGTTAGAAAGACTATTTCTTCTATTTCAGGCAGTAGCGGTGGCCGCAGTAGTAGACTCTTCGGTCCCCTGATCAGTCGCCGTGCGCTGTGCGGGTTCGAATCCCGTACCAGGAGAAAATTTTCTCTTGGCTATGGATGCTGTGATTGTCCGTAGGTGATAGATGGTATCTGACTGTCGAACGCGGAGGTACCACCCGGCGGATCTCGTAGGCGGAGCCAGAATGTGTGCATGTTGCATGCACACGTGTTTCCTCGCCAGAGTCCGTGTGGCGTCCCCCCTTTCCCATGTATCCACCTATGGCCCCATGGTACCAATGGGTGCTTAGGCCTTAGGCCTTCGTGGTAGTTGGAGTATATAAAAAAAACATAACTAAAAGATTAGACATAGTTCATGGGAAAAACTGTGAAACTTTAATGATTATTTAAATGCTCTTAAATTATCTTCATTAAAAGTTGCAGTGTCATAATAGTTTTAAAAAACAATGCTAGTTAGCGGGCTTTGCTCCTCGTTCATGATGCCGCCGCGCGATGTGCCATGTGGTGGGAGTCCACAAATTACATGAAACGTGAAACATTTTTTTATGAGTCTCCCCCTCTCCCTATCATGAATTTCTAGTGTAAGTGCGTTGGATTTATTTCTAAAAGACAATTTGTTTCATAATTGTTTGAATTGTTCAGACTAGTATTCAATAATACTTACATCATAGCCAACATCGCAATGATAAAATTGAACAATACAATACTTGAATGCTTAAATCTTAGGCTAAAATTAATAAATGTGATGCGGGAAAGATAAGTGATTTATCCCGAGACCTTTCCTTTTCACCAGGTGGAATTAGACACTGAACTGCCCACGTAGTCACGTGGCCTCAGAAATAACGAGAATAAACTTTCCAGGTATAATGATATTTTTATCTAATGTTCT